GCCAAAGGTTCCTGCGGGGTTTACCCGTTGGGGTTTTTCGTCTTTCGTAGAAGCCTCCTGCTGGGTTTAGTCCTAAGGGTTTTCGTCTTCGGCCAAAGGTTCCTGCTGGGTTTAGTCCTTAGGGTTTTCGTCTTTGGTCAAAAGTTCGTGCTGGGTTTACTCCTTAGGGCTTTCGTCTTCGGCCAAAGGTCTGCGGGGTTTACTCCGCAGGGAGGTTCCTGCTGGGTTCACTCTTTAGGGTTTTCGTCTTTCATAGACGGTTCGTGCTGGGTTTACTCCTTAGGGCTTTCGTCTTCGGCTGCAAACTCGCAATTTTTAGTTCCATTGTGGGCGTAAGTTTCACCCCATGTGCAGCTTTCTTCTCTTGATTTCGTTAGAGGAGAGGGGAGAGGGCAGAGGCTGGGCTGGGCTGGGTGCGCTGGGCTGGGCTGGGCTGGGCAGAGGGGATGTGTGCACGCAGGAAAAAGTTACGGAAAAAGTTACGTCTAAGCCAGAAAAAAGTTACACCTAAGCCAAAAAAAAGTTACATCTAAAGCTGCTACCACGTAAAACTGTATAAAACCCTACTCACTACTGCCCAGAACACCCCAACCCCCAAAAAATCCAGACATCAGCCATTGCAGACACGAGGAAGAATCCCTTGAAAGCTCGTGGTGCAGCGTTGGGGGTTTCGGGCTTGACGGCCCCGGACACAAGACCGAGGATGCAGACCCGCCCCTCACGAGAGCGGCTGCGGCTCACAGCCTATACCGACTTCCTCACAGGAATCCCAGTATCACCAAGGTTTTTGTGGGCTTCGATACCCCCCCCCCCCCGNNTCACTTGGTTTGGCGTCACTAGGCTCGGGCCTTGTGTGGGCTTGTGGCTGAAACATGATCTTGGGCGAGTGCGTTGGGTGGTGGAACCGGAGTTGCTCAGGCTTGATGGCCCCGGCTCCGCACGCAAGATTGAGGGAGGATGCAGAAAGAAGATGCAACCTTCGGAACACCGATACCTATGCAGACCCGCCCAGCACGAGGGTAAGCCTACATCCTCAAGAACCGATATCAGCTGCACCCAGGGTGCATGCTCGACTCGTGCGCGAGGAAGACGTCCATGAGCGCCTCCAGCGGCACCACGTTGAAGTTCACCAGGTTCTTCTCATCCACGTGAAGGTCCGGAGACGAGGGGTCCCGGTAGATGCTAAAGGTCGACTTCTCCTTACTTCCCCAATAACAAGCTTTATAAAGCTTTCAACCGGGATATATTTTTTAGCCAAAGAGAAGCAACAAGGACGAGCTGTTGAACTCAGTCTCCCGGTGGAGGCTGATGGTCGACTTCTCCTTCTTAAAGCCTGGGTTCTTGTTACAAGGAATGTAAGGTCACATACCATAACTAGGGATCTATAGTACTATAGTACTTTACTCACAAAAGCCCCCTAAATTTTCCTTCATAAAGCCCGAGCCCAGAAGCTCGCCGGGGATCCGCTGGGCCACTGCCAGACGGGCTTCGCCGCCTCGGGGTCGAAGCCCCGGAGCCCAAAGATGTCGAAGCGGTCGAAGGTGCTGCCGATGGTGTTCGCACTCCAGGTGTTGTCCTCCCAAGAACACCACGAAAGGGGGGTCCGTGTGGTTTTTTCCTACTGGCTTTTTGCTGCTTTTGGGGGCTCTTGGCATTTTATAGTGGACACTGTAGGCGCAGGCTTTTGCGCCGTTTGGTCGCGTCCTCCTCCTCCTCGAAGTTCAGGCTCACGAAGGTCGCCAGGTGGTTGATTAGATCGTTGATCTCCTGCTGAGGGTCTCATGACTCATGCGGAATTATACAGCCGTCGCAGCAGGGTCACCTAGCACAAGTACTACACTTACTACACTATAGCAACAAGAGCGATGGACTCCCGCCTGCTCCGTGTATCGCGTCAGCCCCAAGGCTGACAGCGAGTCGTGTAGGGACTTGCCAGAAACGAGCTTATTCCGGCTCACGACGCCCAATCGTACACGGAGCCGATGCCTGATCATCCGCCGCTCGGATTCAGTCATGTCCAGCAAGTCGGATTGCAGCAGTGCCGAGGAGTCTCCGTGGCTGATGCCGCCATCCTCCTCCCCGTCTAAATCATCCAAATCCCCCAAATTCACCTCGGGGAAAATGGATCCACTAGGCCTTTGGTTGCTTTGATGCTCGATCTCGATGTGGGTCTCCTCCCCAAACCTGGCTTCTTGTTAAGGAACTCAGTTTAGATTACCATAAACAGAAATCCTTATGATGGTATTCTTAAGCTCCTTAATCTGGCAATGCTTACCCTCCTTCTTATGATACCCTTGAAACTCTAAACTCCTAAGCCCCTAAAGCCCAAAACCCCTAAAACCCCTAAACCTAGAACCCCTACACCCCTAAACCCCTAAAACCCCTAACGCCCCTAAACCCCTAAAACCCCCAAAAGCCCTAAAGCCCCTAAAGCCCC